AGATTCTAATATGCAATTCTCATACAATTTAAATTTGAGTTAATTGTGCCTTTCTTTTATATAAATAGCAATTAAGGAAGATACATTTGAATATGCTTTATGATATATATCTTTCTTTTTATTTTTATTTTATTGATTTTATTGAGCTATGGATGATGGAGGAAGGTCATTGGCTAATAAAGGAACTGCCCTGGCCCATTTTATTGGTTAGAGGATAGGTGGGAGGAGTAAAGAGAACAAAATGCTAGGAGGAAGAGGAAGTGAGCTCAGAGACTCCACAGCTCTGCTCTCCGGAGCAGACGCCTCAGCAGAGACGCCATGCCCCACTCCCAGCATGAAGCTCCGACCCAGGATGGACATAGGCTAGAATCTCCCCGGTAAGCGCACCTTGGGGTGCTACACACAGATGATTAGAAATGAGCTAAATTAATATGTGAGAATTAGCCTAGAAGAGAATGGGCCAAGCAGTGATTAAAAGAATACAGTTTGTGTGTTGTTATTTCGGAGCATAAGCTAGCCATGTGGGCGGCCGGGTGTGGGGGACGCAGCCCTGCCGCCCCATATTACTACATATGGATTTTTCTCTGTTCCCTGCTTCTCTTTTCCAGCATATACTTCCTAAAACTATTTCCAGAACAGTTAATATTTATGTGTATCCTTTATTGCATTGTATCCATATTTCAAATTTCTTTTGTTACACAAGGCATTCTCAAACATTTGAGGTTCAATGATCGTATTTTTAAAAGAATATTAAAGCACCATCAATTAATTTACATTTTTAATTCGGAATTGCTCAAAATCAACACTAAATTTACTTCTGTTGGACATAATAAAAACTTAGGTATTCCTTATTTATTCTCCAATAGACAAAATTCCATTGAAATCCAAGACACATGCACATCACATTTATGTTTACAACCTCTTCTGCAGAGAGCAGAGATATAAGTGTGTCTCTATATGTTGATAGTAGAGTTATCAATTGATATTTAAAAGTGTGTTGTCCTACCTTGTTTAATCAGCAGCATATACCAAGGAATTATAAAGACCCATCTCTAATATGAGAACAAAGAAAATTGGGTGTGTAATAACACAATGAAAACCTAATTTTTTTGAGTATCTGCCCTGTTTTCTGTACTTGTAACCTACTTTTTTACAGCACTGAGAAATTTTTAATGAAATTAATAATGAATATCTAAAATAAAACTTTGAACTTCTTCACTATGTCATTATCAAGGCTTGCCAAGTCCTAAAAAAAATTTAGTAAACTTAGGGAAAAATAAATTTACACACAATAATTAGAGTAGAATTAAAGTTCTAAAATAAAAAGTCAAAAGTAAGGATACTCTGACTCTTTTAGAACAATGTTTTTTTAAAAATAATATTCATATTTTCAAGGATAATAAATTTAATATCAAAATAATTCACTGTTTCTATAGTGCATGTCTTTTATAATAGGAATATATGACATGTATAAAATAAATTTGAATTTAATTCCCTTTTTCTATTTTAGTGCTTTGACTTGTGATTCGTTTGAAGCAAGAACAAAAATTTATAATTACTTGAGGGAGATATTAACTTGGGTACCTAATTTCTAAATTTATTGGAGTTGTAGTTTCTCAGCAATGGATCTGAGAAATGGAATACAGAAACTACTCAGTGGTTCTTTCATTAGATTTGAGTAATAATCATAAGCGAACATAGCAACTTAATGCTCTATAATTAAACATTTTGATTGTATACATTTCTAACAAAAATTAATTTTTATAGAAATAATGTGAAAGATCAATATAAAGAAGCTTTTGACAAAAATATATTATGTAATTTATATTCTTCATTTGATCCTACTAGCCATTAAATTGCTTTTATTCAATTCATGATAAAGAAAAATGCATCATAAATATTTTCTATATCTTTAAGTGGTGAAGTCTATACTATGTTGGTAGTATTTGTAACTGTTTGTAGAACACCTTGGGTTAAAGGTGTCTATTCTACAATATTTTTGTTCAACGTCAAAGATTTCCTATGTTATAAATTTTTCATGAAATTGTAACATGTCACAATAAATATTATAAAAGTGAGTGCAAGCTGGGTGGTGGTGGCGCACGCCTTTAATCCCAGCACTCAGGAGGCAGAGGCAGGCGGATCTCTTTGAGTTCGAGACCAGCCTGGTCTACAAGAGCTAGTTCCAGGACAGGCTCCAAAACCACAGAGAAACCCTGTCTCGAAAAACCAAAAAAAAAAAAAAAAAAGTGAGTGCAAATATGAATTTCAAATACTTGAATTGATGGCTTTGTGTTACATTCCAGTTTTCTAAACAGTTAAATTACACTGCTAACTTATACAAGAAAATTGTTTATGTCTTTGAAATTCCTGTTAGACTTCAAATCACAATATTATAATTAATATGTGTATGTAAATGTAGGTCTGCAAATCCAAGTTATATATAAAGTGTTGTACCAAAGTAAATTGGTCTCAGGAAAATGAAGAGGTAGTCTTCATAATCACTGTTATACAATGTTATATATGAAAAATTTAAGCATTTAAATGTATATGTTATTTCTTAATAAAATGAAGAAAAATAGAAACTAATTATTTTAAATATAAACATTTTATTTTTCATCTTGGTAGCAAAATTTATTTTGCTTTTACATGAAAATAATTCAAATATTGATATTTAATCTCATATTTAAAGTGTTTAATTTTGTTTTTCTTGGAAATTAAAACTATTTTGACATCAGTTTTCATTATTATAAATTATATAAAACATTTTACAAATAACATTTTTCTAAAGATAGAAATGGCTATCAATACACCTATAAAACTCCCAAAATATTATACACAAAATATTCATTATTGCAAAGCTAACTATGCTTCCTCGGTTATGTTGTAAAATTTGTTTTCTAAAGAGTAATCAGTGGGGAGAGGGGGAGAGGAGTTGGGGGAGGGGGAGAGGAGTGTGGAGAGGGGGAGAGGAGTGTGGAGAGGGGGAGAGGAGTGGGGAGAGGGGGAGAGGAGTGGGGAGAGGGGGAGAGGAGTGGGGAGAGGGGGAGAGGAGTGGGGAGAGGGGGAGAGGAGTGGGGAGAGGGGGAGAGGAGTGGGGAGAGGGGGAGAGGAGTGGGGAGAGGGGGAGAGGAGTGGGGAGAGGGGGAGAGGAGTGGGAGAAGTGGCAGGGAAATGGGAGGCTGGGAGGAGGCGGAAATTTTTTCAACAAAAAAGAAAGAAAGAAAGAAAGAGAGAGAGAAAGAAAGAAAGAAAGAGAGAGAGAGAGAAAATAATTTATGCTATTTATACTTAAAAATAGAGTAATCAGTATTTAATAAGAGATTGTGCCAGCCCTTTGCTTGAGATGAACAGAGACACCTTTGCAGCTTAGTTTCATGTTTAACCACTGGCAATGTGGTTTAACCATTTGTTTAAAGGATAATATGGAAGCAATGAGAATAAAAGCTGATTCTTGTTGAATCTTCATATGAGGAATCTTAAGTTCCTCCCACATGCCTTTCTGCTGCTGTCTAGTGTTTGTTTGCTCATTTAAATAGAGAGGCATCCAAGGATTGGAAAAACGAGATCGAGGTTTATAACTATGTAGTACAACTGTGCTTTGAACATAGATTTTCTGTCTTCTAATGCTTTGGATTGTAGGACAATGCAGTGACTTATCATTAGAACATGCATATGTGAAATTTGTCTTTCAGCAGGCACAGTAACACTGATCTGTAGAATTTATTGTCATATACTTCATTTAGTTATGAGAGGAATTTAAATGAAGTATAAAGTTTCACCTCATTTGTAATTGTTTTTCAAAAAATTTTTGAAAATTTGGTTTCTGGATCATGTACAGCAAGCAATCTATGGAGCTTACATAGGATTTTAAAGATAAATCTTTAGTTTTATGAATAATCTATGCATCAATGTATGTAGGATAAAAGAATATATATCTTTTATTTTTGGTTCCTTAATAATTATGAAAGGACCATTTAATTTTTATTTTTGATAATAAATATATTTTATCATTAAAGAGCTGTACAATTTAAGAGTGTCCTACAATTCTTAGAATATATTGCTATTCATAGTGACAAGTGTATGGAGCCACTATATCACCTCCTTTTCCTCTAGGTAATACAATATTTATTCTCTATAGCACTTATTTTCCTACTTACATTATTAGGACTGTGTAATCTTGTCATACTCAACTACAGACATAGGACTCTCAGTATTTCTACTTTTTTGTCGCTTCCTCATCCCAGTCACCTCTTCACAGACACAGTCTGCCTAACACTCGGTACTACCCTTAAACAAATACCAGGGAAAATCGGCTCATCTAAGAAATGTACCTACCGAATGTATTTGGTTAAAACGTACCCTATTAATATAACAACTAGTAAAGTATCTTAAATATCATACCTGTATAATGCTTTTAATCTGTTAAAATATTACGTGCAAAACAAAAACAACCACTTGTTTTTTAAGTCATGATTTCAAAATTATCCTTTGTAGACATTTAAGAATCTGTCACCTCTGTCAAAGCCAAGTCCTTAGAGCCATCCAATTTAAATTTTAGTTTGAATGCCAAAATATCATCATACTAAACACTTGTATAACCCTTCTCTAATAAAAGTCATATAGTTTTTTAACAGTATGATTACCTATGAAAAATACTTAGGTCAGGCATGGTTTGTGATATGATAAAATTCATTACTTCCCTAAAATGAATTGAAGACTACGTTGAATAGAAGTTATTTATCTTCTTTTTAAAGATAATTTGAAAAATATTTAACATTTTAACATCATTTCTTATAATCAGTAATAAAATATGATTATTAGACAGACAAGAGGTCCCAATAATCTAGTTATTGACACCTGTGAGTCCCTATTATTTTCTTCATCTATATTTGAGTATATTAGAGTCTTATTAGAAGTTACTTAAAGAATAGTTGTTCATATTGTGTATTTTGGTGGTTTATGAGGCTTGTTTTTTTCTTTTTTTTTTCTTTTTTAAGACACACTTTTTAACGGTCTTGGGCTAGGAGCCATTATTGGCCTGGGAGTCGCTGCCCTCTTGCTAATCCTTGTGATAACAGATGTCAGCTGCTTCTTCATTCGACAATGTGGGTTACTAATGTGCATTACTAGGAGAATGTGTGGGAAGAAAAGTGGATCCAGCGGGAAAAGTAAAGAACTTGAAGAAGGAAAGGCGGCGTACCTGTGAGTATACCAGTACTTTCTCCCATGAGTGAAGCATAGGTTCATCTTGTGTGCTTTGTTGGAGGCTTTCTTCTAAGCCACATCAGGTGTTTAACTAGAATACAGTGCAAATATTACTCTCTGGGCAGGCCTTCAATCTGTATAATATATGTACATACAAATATACACAGGGAATATTCTATCTGATGCCTTTTCACAAATATGAATAAATCTTTGACAAATTCTTTCTAAGGAGCAAGACTGTGAAATCTACAAGAATTTGACCTATGCTCTTTCCAAGTCTACATCCCAACCCAGGCAACTGCTAGTCATTGAATTTTCCACAACTAGATTTTTTTCTGATTTAAAACTTCATGTGGAGGGGTGCTTTAGTATGTAGTGTCTTGGTACATCTTTCACTCACTATAATTTTTAGGAGTTTTTTATTGAATGCTTACATTGGGGCTTGATCATTTCAGGATATTTTAAATAAGTATTTTTAAATTTATTCTTTGACAGTTTTGTACATATATAAAATTACTCTCTCACTCCACAACTTCTTAAGCTTAATTCTCTTCTGGGAATTATTCAGAAAATGTTTCCTTCTTATTATCTAATATTATCTATTCTTTTTCCCACTTGTAGCCTTGTAAGAGTCAGATATAAAATTTAACTAATTTAGTTTGCCTCATAGTAGGATTTTATTCTCTTAAAACAAGTTTTTTTTTTAAAAAAATTTAGTCCTTGTTCAGTATCATTTTGAAAATAAACTATTATGTACTGTTTAACTATGTATATAATAGCATATGATTAGATGTATATCAGAATCATATGCATATTCTGCTAGTTACTCAAACAGAGCGTGGAACCTAGAGGAAAGAACTGAAGCTGACCCCATGGATGAATGCTGTTTGTAGAGTTTCTCTTTTTGATATTTTCAGCTTCCTTTCTTATGTTTCCCCAGCTTGTCCCTCACTTAACACTGTTCATAGTAATGGTCCTTTCCACATCTATTGTTAATTAATAAAACTTTTATTAGAAATACCTACAGGACAGTATGTACTTTGCATTTTCTCAATTGAGGTTCAAAATGCCACAGAGCAAGAACATTTTCTCCATTTTATTTCTGCTATTATATAACTCATATCTATTGTATATAATCTTTAATCATTCTCATGATTCATTTGAATGTCAAATATTGCCATTCAAAAATATACACATTTACATTTAATATAATAAAATATTTAATTTCCTATATTTGATTCTATTTTGGAAGTTTTGATCTATAAAAAATCATTAAGTTAGCTTTCTATAATCCCCACTAAAGTGCTATGTTCCTTATTTTAAATTAAACTTCTAATGGACTTGATGTTGAGATCCAGATTCTTTTCAGTAATTTCACTTTTCACCTATGTTTACACAAGTATTGATAAATGAAATTGACATGTGCTCCTTACAAATCATAATATCTTTTAACCATATCTGCTCGACAGATAGGAATGGATCCTTTTTTGTGTTTACTATTGTGCTACATTTTCATGTTATCATTAAACCAATACAGCAATATTATATTTAATAATTACTAATGCATACACATGGTTTTGTCATTCACTGAATCTTTTCTTACCTTGCTAATCTTCGAGTTTGCTTTGTTATGGCTGTCTCTTGAATTTCAGATTAAATCATTTTATATATCCTCCACAAGTACACACAACAGACACGTGCCCACACATCTATACATACACATTTATAAAACACACACATCTCACAAAACATGTCATAAATAAATTAATTAATTACTTAAAAAGTTTCATTTCTTCCAAATATATCTTTAGTTTGAGATTGAAACAAAAGGCAATAGGCAGAAGTTAGTTTCAACTGAAAGTTTATGTGACATATTAATAACAGTGGGATTAATTTAGTGTACAATTTCTCTTTCTTTCATCATAGTTTACATTCTAGTATTGTCTGTTGTTCTTTGGTAAACTCTATCAATAAGATTGTTGTTAGTATTGCTGTTGCTGTGTATAATTTTTATATATATAGAGAGAGACCTGTGGTAAATATTATAGATGAAATAAACTTACAATATTGGGAAGGCATGTATATTTTATTTCCAAGATCATTTAACTGAATATTTCTAGTGATTGTCTCCAATGCTACTATACATATCTTTATTGTTTTTAAAATGTTTCACTTTCTTTCCTAATTAGGCAAGAAAATATTTATAAACTTCTGTTAATAAATTATTGTAATTTTAAAACCTAGATTTTTAAAATGCAAACCACTTTTGCAAAACAATGTTCTTTCTTTTATCTTTATGAAATATAGCCTTGCTCTATAGTCAAAGCTGACCTCAAATTTACAATATTCCTAATTTGTTTCTGGACACTAGACTTACAAATGTTTACTACCTTTCCTAACAGGAAGCAACAATAACAAAGACACAACGGTAATGATAAAAAGAGACTGCATTACTTATTTCCAGTTACATAGTAAAAAATCATGGAAATATGAATTCAAAAGAAAACATACTATGTTTGGTTAGTTTAAAAGTTTTGTGTGTGTGTGTGTGTGTGTGTGTGTGTGTGTGTGTGTGTGTGTTGTAACAAATGAGCAATTGACACATTGAAGAATGAAATATCTTAATATTTTTTTAGGAAAGATGGGTCAAAAGAACCAATAGTGGAAATGAGAACAGAGGATGAAAGAATCACTAATCATGAAGATGGCAGTCCAGTGAATGAGCCAAACGAAACCACACCATTAACAGAACCTGAGTATGTAGCTCCAAATGCTTATATTTGCAGACAAGTAACAGTAAAGTGTAAAGCATTTTAGTTATTTGTAGCATTAAATTAAAATATCATTAGTAATAAAATTATTTTGTATTTTAAATTATATATCATTTTGCTACAGAAGTCCATTTTATTGAGCTATTTCACTTGAAAATTCTCTATCAATATCATAAAATTTAAGCCTTAAAGTATATATTTACATTCTCATGCAAAATGTTAACAATAAAAACGATGTATTTCAGAATTGTATTTTATAAGACTAATTGATAATTTGTGGAAAAATCATATTTTAAATTATAAATAAATTTTACTGAAATATGTATGTGGCAGGAAATGAGTTACCATGCTGACTATTGATAACTTTTGCAGTATGACTAGAATGTTAACCAAATTCTTATTTCATATACTCTCACCATACTTGTTCTTTGGTAATTTCATAAACATACTTCATGCATTCCAATCCCTCCTTTCTCTACACTCTCTCATCACAAATTGTCAACCTCTCTCCTCTGGACAACTCCTTTTCTCACATCTGGCACTGTTTTGTTTCATGATTAAAAGAGTATTTAACATGTGTCTTCTGTGACCAAGAGTTTATCTATCCTTTGGAGTTTGATAGACTCATCAATGAGTTTACAACAGAATGGAGTGATTATTCCTGCCCCATAATCCATTAGTAGTCAGTTGTTCAGCAAGAGAATATATGGCCTTGTAAATCATGCCTTTAATCCATGAGAAGCTATTGATATGTTAAGACTGTACTAGTAAAGGTTAGACAGCTATCCCTTCATTTGGATCATGTTATCAATGACAATAATTTCGAGAAGAAAACAATTCATGAAAATTCTCTCTATTGGACTCATTCATTTGACCCATCTTCTGTATGTTCAATGGTTATTTGAGTGTTTGGTTTTAATGTCCTTCTTAGTTATTAGTTCTCAACTATTACCTATTGAAAGCATCTGAGTAGCTCTGAGACACTGCATTAACTACCATACATGTAAACAATGATTAAGACTTAATGAAGCATTCTTCAAAGTATAAAAGCATAAATGTTAAGTATGGAAACTTTTCAACTTAGTCAAACAACAGTAATAAGATCAAATCTGGTACCTTCTCAATCATTATTTTTAACCAGTTTCTAATATCAGGAATGGATACCCTTTTTGTGGAACAGGTCTCCAATATAATAAGGGGGTATTTGGCTTACTCTAGCAGTCAATCATGCTGCCTTGACTAGCAGTGTTGTTAGTTAGTATTGTTGTTCATAGAATTGACTGCCAGGCAAGTACCAAAGAGTACCTTAGTCTTTCTCTCTTTTACTCTTTTTCTGGACTGACAATCCGCCCTTCTCATCAGTTACATCACTGCTCCCTGAATTAAATTGATTACTTTTAGCATAATTGCTTGGACTTTCATGACAAATAGTTTATTCTCATTATTCATAATATAATATAAATTGCAAGAGAACTCAGAAGAACTAAAGTATCAACATTAATTTTCCCATATAACATGTAGACTAAGTTCAGCTGAAATCATATTTGTGAACATTTAGAGCATTGTTATGTCAAAGAAGGAAGTATTAGTTTCCAAGGTAGCATGTATAAGATGGAATACTGAACTAGTGAATGTTGTAATACAAATAAAGAAAATTTTCATTCAATACTGTCTAATTAAAATTTAATAAAGCTATCTTAATTTCATTGAAAAAAACAAGGAAACTGTAGACACGGTTCAGTGTTTACTATCAATTGTTTCTCTTATAGAGGACATATGTTCAGTTTCCAGATAGTATCCACATGATACCTCACAGCCATCTGCAACTCCAGTTTCAGGAAACCTTACACATTCTTCTGGACTCTAGAAATACTAGGGACACATACAGTGCACATATGTATATGCAGACACACATTCATATACATAAATAATACATCTTTTAAAAAGCAGGTATTGTTTCATTGTAAGAAACAACTCTCAAAACATATACTCATTAGTATTATAAAATACAAAATATAATACTAAAATGCCCCAAAAATATAATTATAAAATATAAGGATTAACTTTATAAATAATAGTAATTTCCTTTAATTTCAAAATAATATTGGTATTGGTGACTCAAATATTTTTTAACTGTAATGACATGCCACCCACTTATTTTTTTATTATTTTTTATATTATTGGTCAAATGTATTCTATTTTAAATCTCAAATGCAGTTTTTTTTTCTCCTCCTATCCTCCCATTCCCTTTACACTCATGCACAATGACTCCCATCCACTCTTACACTGTTTCTGTTCAGAAAGGGTTCCCATGAGTATCAACAAAGCATGGTATATCAAGTTGCTATAAGACTTAGCTCCTCCCATTGTTTTAAGACTGAGAAAGGCAATGCAGTATGAGGAACTGGTTGATAAAAGTCAGTCAACTTGTTAGTGGCAGCCCCTACTCCCACTGCTATAAGTCCCACAAGCAGCCCAAGCTACACAACTGCGACACATATATGAAGAGTTCAGGTCAGTCTCATGTGATAATTACTAGAGATGATAAACCAAGTAATGGTCATAAGTCAGGATTTAGGCTTTTAATAATTCAAAAAAATAAATTATTTTATTGTATTCATTTATTTATTTTAGAGGTAGTTTGTGACAGTGTTTTTCAGTGTAGCCTTAACTATCCTGGAATTATTCTGTAGACTGGGCTGGCCTCAAATTCATAGAGAACTTTATGCCTCTGCCTTTCAAGTGCAAGGATTAAAAGATGACTACCACCATCTGCTAATTTATTTTAATTGACACATAAGTTATGAAATCAAATGTATCCACTGTTGCCATAGGTTTCTGTCCTGCCTACTCCTGCAATAAACACACAGAAACTATATTATTTGCAGTAATGTTTGATCAATAGCTTAAGTGTATTTTTAGCTAGCTCTTATATCTTAAATTAACCTATTTCTATAAATCTGTGTATTGCTATGTGCCTGTGGTTTGCAAGCAAGGTTCAGACGTGTCTGTCTCCTGCAGGCAGATACATGGCTTCTCTCTGACTCAACCTACTCTTTATATATCTCTTCCATCCTGGCTATATTCTGTTAAGCCATTGGCCAAAAGCAGCTTCTTTATTAACCAAAAAAGCAACACATATATAGGAGGACTTCCCACACTATTTCCCCTATTCTGTTTAAAAAAAGAGGAAGGTTTTAGCTTTAATGTAGTAAAACTACATATAACAAAACAGTTATTAAGCAAGAAATATATTTACAATATTTATATATACTTTATCTTTTATCATAAATAAGGAAAACTATAATTATAACTATCTATTCTTCAACTACATCAAAGACCACAGAAGGATATAATATTACCTATGTAAAGGGAGTGTGTTTCAGCAACTTCTAAAACTTTAGAATTTACAGAGACAACTTACTACCGGAACAGTCACCCAGAGTTCTTCTGTAACATTTCTCTAGGAATCCATCTTCAGCCTACAGGCTCATAGTATCTGGCATACTTTCTACAGACCAGGAAATTTCAAAGACTGCTGCTGTGCATATATTGGCAGTTTGTTAGTCACTTTTTTCTGTCTCCTGCAGAATGTCTTTCAGACTTTTTCATGAAGCAGGAACCCTGAAGGACTGTCTCAAATTCTTTAGTAAGCTTCAGTGGTCATTTTACTGTGGGTCCTGCAACTCCAGTCAAAAAGTACAAATATGAGCAGTTTCTTGCCCAAATGGCTAAAAACTATGTAGGGAGCCTCTTTGATGCCCATCATCCTCTTGAAGTAGATTGGTGCTGCCAGTACCAGATGTGTCTCATTGTCATAGGAAGTCTTATGCTCTTAAAACATTTTAAATGCCATATTCTGAAGATCACTGAAAAATTTATAGAATATCTATCTAAATCAAATACATTTCTATATATCTAGAAAACCTAACTGATATAACTACAAACTTGACTATTATAGATGACTATCTATTAACCTGTATTTCTTAATTATACATTACATTTTTAAATGAGCTGCACAAACACAATACCTTAATTAAGAGCAGAAATATACATATAACAAAATTGGCCTTAAATTTGCATCCATAAATCAAAATCTATGCTAATGCAAAGTATCCATCTCTATAGCATATCACCATTTAAATGTAAACAAACATTTATAGAAAGAATTTGGGAATTTGAGCATAATTCTCTCCAAACTGCTTCCTTCCTTTTTGTTGGGTGAAGTAATTGAGAATTCATGAAGACCTTTTGAGAGGTTTTGGTCCATCAAACACATTAGTTTGGTAGGAATCCACAGGTTCTCATTTACTGTGGAAACAAAATTAGAACCTCTTTTCCAAAGCAATATATCCTTAGACCCAAATTTTGACATCAAGGTACCTCTAAAATATTTTGGCTTAGCTTAGCGGCCCATACAATGAAATGTCTCACTGTACTTAGTTCCTTCACAGTCAAAAATTCAAGAAAAACAAAGTAATATGAATAATCCAGATTTGCCATGTAATTTCCATCTTTGCATAGCTTATTTTTCTTTAGTCCTTCTAATTTATGACTGTTTGTACTTTGTCTCTTTAAAGACTTTGTTTTATTTTTTATAAACATTTACTTCCTTTAAAACTGTCTATATTCTTTTCCTTTTCTCTCCCAAGCCTACTTCTTATTTTTATCCAAAATTGTGACCCATTTAGAGGTCTTTTTTAAAAATCTGAATCTGTCTTTATTGTATATCCTTTTCTGACTGGGACATTTCTTAAAATGCAAAGCAGTGTGGCTAGCACTAAGGCTGTTTTGCCTTTTGGCTCTGTCCTACATGTCAGAGGTCTGTTCACTGCCTCTGAGACAGCCAGCTGGGAGCCACACTTACCACATCAACTCTAATAATTAGTAGGCCTATGCTTCCACCAAGTAACTTGCAGTATACTCCTCACAAGCACCATTCAAGTGCTCAGCCTCTGGAAAAAGCCAGAGTTCATGCTGTTAGCATGGCTCAGGAAGCTGCCATTTTGAAACCACACAGTTTTTTTTTTTTTTCTTTCTGCTACCTCTGAATCAGAAAAACCTCTCTAAAGCGAGCTAAGGCAGTTTGTAACAGGGTTTCTCAGTGTCGCCTTAGCTGTCCTAAAACTCACACTGTAGACCAGGCTGGCCTCAAACTCAAAGATTTTTCATGCCTCTGACTCTTGAGTGAAAGGATTTAAGGATGACTACTATAATCTGGCAATTTATTTATTTATTTATTTTTTATTTTTTCGAGACAGGGTTTCTCCGTAGCTTTTGGTTCCTGTCCTGGAACTAGCTCTTGTAGACCAGGCTGGCCTCGAACTCACGGAGATCTGCCTGCCTCTGCCTCCCAAGTGCTGGGATTAAAGGCGTGTGCCACCACCGCACGGCTGGCAATTTATTTTTAATTTAATCTTAAATTATAAAATCAAAGTTATCCATAATGAACAATTATGCTCACCTATATTTACAAATAGATTTTTCAAATATTCTGTGTATCACCTTACATTCTTATGACGGTAATGGCAAATGCAAACTACTTTATTACATTCTAGTTTATTTTATAATAAATTCTTTCAAAACTTAAAAGAAATGTGCCTGAAAATATTCATATAGGGAACATTATAGTGACTGTGTAGGCTGAATTAAAAATAAATTTGAAGATATATATACACATATGCATGTAACATTTGGAAATAAAGAGGCTAAGGATTTAAAGGATAACAATTGAAAATATATTAGAATGCTAGCAGGAAGGACTAGGAAGGAAAAATGTTATAATTTCAAAGAAGAAAAAACTATTTAAATTAACTTATCTTTTTCTTTGAAAAATATAGCATATTTCATTTGCAAAATGAAATTCAATAATTGAAATGGTTAGAAACATGTTTTAAATTATCTCTAGAAATTTAGTATGTAATCTCTCTGTTTATTTTCAGAAAATTGCCTTTAAAAGAAGACAATGGAAAAGAAGTCCTAAATGCAGAAACTATAGAAATTAAAGTGTCTAATGACATCATCCAGTCTAAAGAAGATGACAGCAAAGCATGACCACAAGTTTCAGCACCTTGGTTAGCACCGCAAAGAGCAATTGGATTGCCGTGACACTTTGACCAAATCTATTCCATTGACCTTAATTTCTTGGAAAACGTCTAGCTTGGAATAGCTTGTACACATATACATATGATCAATTCCTCCTGTCACAGTTCATTTCCTTTTGTTATTGCTGTTGTGGTTGTTGGTTTTGTTAAGTATTTCCGTATAAAGTCTTGATTGGCACCAGGTTTGGTTATCAGTTTGATTCTATGACTGAAGTGTTACAATTTATTATATGGCTAAAGGGCTTTTCTTTTTAAAATTTTGTTTTATGTAGCACCAACGGATGTATTTCAGCTCTCAAAAATATTAGGTTGTGATAGAAGGCAGAGCAAAATTATTCTGAGATAAATGTGTACAAAAGCCCTGCATGTTGATGAATCTTATCTTGGGCAAACACACTATTAAAATGGCTTTCAGATTAAGATGAAGGCACATAACAAAGGTTATACTTTTTATCAAAAAAATTTCAGGGAACCCAGGCTGGAAGGAGCCAGTCATTTATCTTTTGCAGATATTAGAAAGTGAAAAAATGTTAGAGAACTTGTTTCAACGTATGACCACATTGCATTTTTGACATTGATCTTGGATACAGTGATACCAGATCTAAACTCTTACACATCAGAAAGAAGATTAGTTGTGTGTAAAATTAGATTAGAAAAACTCCCTAAATCTCTTTTTATGTATACCATATTCACTCACAGTGGATTACACAAAACGTAAATGTATTACAAGTAAAAATGGTATTGATTTCTGCCCTCAGCTTCAAATAAAGTGAATTTAAATGGGAAAATACCAATATGCTTTCTTGATATATTTATAAATACATGATTATTTTTATTTATATATATAATTTATCAAAAAATAAAGTTGTTTTTAAGTACTTCGAGTCATATTAGATATGTTTTGGTATATAGATTTAGGTGGTCATTATTATTATTATTATGTATCCCTCTTTAAATGTAAGTGGCTAATAACATTGAAAGTATATATTAGAGTGAACTAATTAAACATTCAAATGTTCCAAGAGGATTGAAGAACTGAAATGCTACTATTGACTTATTTTCAAGTAGTACAATTTAAAATCCATTTTACACCAATTTTAAGGTATTTAATAAACAGCTACAGTTAAAACAATCATTTAGCTATTCTATATAGACTTTCTAATACTATTTCTTAAGGATTACACAAGAATATGATAGTTACTAACTTACAAGCTATGCAAACTCCCTGAGGTCAAAGTCTGAACTATGATTTAACGTATGTAAAAGGAAAAAAAAAGATTTGTAGCTATCAATATACATAGGTGGGGAGCAGGGTTAAATGATTTCTTAAGTCAGAGTTCCTAAAGCTACTATAGTCTCCCTCTTCCTCACAGACTTTGGTGTTCTGGTACCAAGTGAATAGCTCCAATATTGGTGCATTTGAGACCACATTCTCATAGTTCATTGGATGAATATTTTTAACACTGAAGATGGCCCTGCTCTTATACTATGAGGTAATTTCTTGAAAATTATATACAACATTAGTGCCACTCTGGAATACTTCTCTTGGTAAAGTGTTTAAACTTGCCGTCCAAGGAGAGATAAATGTTTTATTGTATCTTTTACCTCACCTGCTGACTGTCAGCTAGACCAACTGTGCCCAACTGCATGAAAAGATGCTTTAATCTTCACAGTGCTTTGTAGGAAATTCTGGATTATTGCAGGGGTCTCTCCTTGATGCCAATCCTGGCATATTCTGAAGAGAGAGAGAGAGAAAGACAGAGGGAAAAAACCCAAAACCTAATTAAGAATCTGAACGGTGTCTATCTAAAATAAGCAAACAAACCAGTTTAACCCTTTTCAAACTTGCTTACCAAACATTTTCTCGATTGATTTGTATAGGGTGTTTAGCTTATGTTTGCCGGGTCTTTTTAGTTTCATTCTTTAAGGTGTACTTCTTTCTGCTTGTTTTACTTTGTACCAAATGTACTAAAATTAGTCAAAATACTTGAATTTATTTGTTTGTGTAAGTGAACAGTCTTAGTAGTGGTGTCTATGAAGCAAAAGCCATGAACACTGATTTTTTTCCTCAATAGAACGACATGGTTTTAAATTAATGCTATAAAATAATTTGTATGACTGGTAAAGCAATTTAGCATGTTTTGAATTGTCATATGTGTGCTATAACACAAGAACAGAGAAATAAGGAGAGCAAAATATCTTTTGTGTTTTCTCAATTTGAAGCTTTAATTTTATCATGTCTTCAGTTTTTCTATGTAAAAAAAACTGAATTAAATTTATACACATAGTCTTAAATCTTTTGTCATCGTATGGAGCCATTGGAAAACTTTGGATAGAGTCCATGGATGCTTTCAGGTGTTTCAGAGATGCTGAATTTGTGGTGTCTTAGAAATCAATTCTCTGCAGACAACATATTGATGTGGTAAACTTTTTAAGATTTCAAAGAAATTCTCCTAATCACACAGCTTGTAAAGTATCCAAATGAGAATGCCATATAGTGAATTCTCAATTTATAAGTAAGCCTGAAATGATTTTTTTTAGTTTTTAATTCTATTTTAGTCTAAATGAATTTATGTAACTTTTACTATCTGAAAGTCCACTTCCATGTTATAACAAAATGTCCACTGGACAAAATTTAAGTATTGTTATGGTAATCTGAACCTTACACCAATTTAAAAAGGTGCAAATGTAAGGTTAGGAGCTGATAAAATGACAATCTATATTTGACACCCCAAGAGAGAAAAATGTAATATTTGAATTTTAATACATGTTGTATTTTTAAAACTGACACAAATATTTCAAAATAATTTACATTGATGTTTGAATGCATCAAAATTGTGATTTCAACAGGTTAATTTATTATTTTGTGGATAAGATATATTACTGTTCTATTTATACTAATGTCTAACATTAACAGTCTTTAAAACTTTTATTTTTTAATCTTAATACCTATATCATTATTTCAAAATAGTTTTGACCCGACAAACTTCATATGAATCTTAGATTTTTTGTGTTAAGAATCTATATAAATAAAATAGATATTAGTAATCGAATGAATCATAAGTTATAGCAATTATTTGTATATTAAAATCATCTCTTTATTTTGAATAATTAACAGGTATTTGTGCCTTTATAATAGCATGACATTCCTTTAAAGAAAAACTACAACTACTATATGTGTTTTGATCATGCATATGACACTAAACCTGGATTTTTTTACAATCAATTAATAAACTTTACTGTAACCCACAATATATATACAATCAAATTTATTTTTATTTACAATAAAACAACACTTTAGTCCATTAATAAGATATTTTAGTTGGATCTGTATTGTTTTTCTAGATGATAAGTATGTATTTGGAAAATTGTGATATTAGCTCTAAGAAATACAACAGATGCTATTTGCAACCAGGGCGGTTACTATGGGGTCACTTGGGTCTTCACTGTTTTGTGGAGATCATAAATCATCCATGTGATGGCAAGATAAACAAATATCAAAATATCTATAATTGAAATAGTAAGAGAAGTTTACATTTTTAATTTAAAAATATTGGTGATGCATATAATAGCTATTTAAAATTACATTATTTTTCATGGAAAATAATGTAAATGTTTAGTTTGATTTTCTCATGGAAAATTTAGAGGGACTGTTTCTTTTCAAAACATTTCATTAAATCTGAAATCATTTACAATGAGAACATTTTTATATATCTTCAATTTCCACTCCTTATTAACCCTTCGGAATAGTCTGTCTAAAACTGAAATAGCATATAGGTAGAATTTCATATGCTAAACTTAAATTGTGTTTGGTTGAAAATTAAAATTTAATCACAGAAGTTAAATTATTAAAGATAATATTATATATATATAGTCTTAATAATATTCTAATATGAAACAACTGCTTGTATAAATGAAAACATTATAAAAGGCCTAGCAATAGTAAGTGCTGAGTACATGTAATTTTCTTCCAGGCTTCACTATTTTATTATTTTAAATTGTGTTCAACCATGTAGATGGAGCTACTTATCCACACTATACAAGATTACTAAAATAATAACTATTTTTTTCATATAAGTCTATGACATTTATATTATATATAATGGTGAATATTTATTTGTTAACATATTTAGTAGTCTTACAAACTATTCATTATTACTACATAGTTTTATGATAATTTAAATCAATTAGTTAATATAGTTTCTTTAATCTTAGTTTGACATGATTTTCTCATTACTGACCAAACATTGTTCATGATGATTTTTATAGAAATTTCCAATGTAAATGTATATATCACAACTTTATTCTTTTCTAATTTACAATCCTATATCTTTAGTGTCTAATTTTAGCCTTGAATGGAAGAAAATAAGAAAATGATCTTTGGAGCATTTCTATCAATAACAAACAGAAGAGTTAAGATACAGAAATGCCTAATCAAGGGATAAAATCATTTTTAGGTAAATGGTTATGCCAATGAAAGTAGAGCAAAGACAAAACTCTAACAGCATCTGAAAGATCATTTAACAGAGATAAACTCTATAATTCAACTTGAAAATATGATGTTTAAACTAACACCGTGCTATAAAATTATATAATTAAAAACAAAAAAATTTTGCATTCTCAAAAAATGTTTCTTAAGGATTTGTCTCTAACCCTTTGAGAACAAAATCAACAATTACAAAAGAGTTTAAAAACACATTTGGAGGTATGGAAATTCTATCTTTATTCTCAAATAATAAAACATGACATCACATATTTTTAACTTATACATTTTATCCAAATTGTGTATAGTTAACTATCATGTTTTCTTATTATTTCAATATAGTATGTCCCTATGAAATGCTGTATATATATGTCTAAACTGTAAAAAGTATACTGCAAATGTTGAAGTTTTGTATTTATGAAAGACATTGAAAGTATGGCTTATGGTATTTCAAAATTGTCACTCTTCACCATTTGTATATTAATAGTAAAGATACTTTTACTTTAATAAAGTGTCAAATTTTATGTTTTTTTCTAATTCTATCTCACTAGTGAGAGAGCTTTTATGTAACAAAATCTTAGTTTCTGGAAATTACAAACATATCACTAGGCAGCCAGAAAACAAATCCTTTCTGCCATCTTGTTTTAATTGAATTATAGCATTATGGCCTATCAACAGTGCCCTGATCAGAAAAAAAAATAAATGATTCAGATAGACTGTCCCATAAGCATCATTAGTATCAACAAGGAAACAATGAGAAATAAATTTGTGTGAATCTGACCATAGACTACTGTATCTCTAGATCCTTTGATAGGAACCCAGACATAGAGCCTTAATGAAATTTTCTTATTATGGTTGTGTATTGGGAAGTTTGCGTCTACTTGAGTATCAGAGACACTTCTTGTTTTGCTGATTTTCTACATATTTCACTTTCAATGCATGAGCTTAAGGATCCTACTATGTTTAAGAAATAATACTTTAGCACACAGAATGATTTGCTGCCAAGTCATGTGATCTACAAAATAAAGAAATAAGTCTTTGGAAAAATAATTTACTCAGAAAAGATGAATTTTGGAAGCAGTACTTACATAAGCAAACAGAAGGCGCAGTTTAAAAAAAATAAAGAGAAAAAAGGAAGATATTATAGATAAATTTAGACCTAAATAACTAATATCCATTTCCACTTTATGCTGAAATTCTTTTTTACATTATTAACTTTAAAAGAAAGGTGTTAAAGAAACTGACTATGTAAATCGATACATCACAACTATATTTTCTTTTCTGATATAAAACACATTTGTTTTAGTGTCTAATTTTGGTCTTCCTTAGAAGTCCCCACGCTGAAAACACAGGTCTTAGCAACACGGCTTCACAAACATGATCTTAACAAGACTCACACCAGTACTCATGACAAAGTGAAAGTGGAAAATCCAATGAAACAGGAGACTATACAAAGAATTATAGAATTGGTAAGGGTGGTAGAAATAGTCTCCTTTAGTAAAGAAAACACAATTTGGTTACCCTACATCAGTTGGACAACGCTAAAAGCATACATACAAATCTCATCATACAGACTGAGGAAGGTATAGTTAGTAATGTTTATGTATATGCATACACATGCAATAACAATAAATAAAAGAAGATATGAATTTGAAAGACCTCTAAAAGGGAGAGGCATAGAGGGTCTGGAGGAAGGAAAGAAAAGTGAGAAATGTAATTAAAATGCTACATTTTAAAATTATAAACATAAGATAATTTGTATGTTTCAAAATACCCTTTCAGTATTGAGATTGCTTTTTTTTGGAAGGGGGTCATTTTTCATAAATAGACATTTATATAGAGGATTTATAATTTGTTGCACTGGTTAATTTATTTTACTGTTGTTGTTAAGTCACTATAAAATAATCCTTTAAAACAAAACAAATAAATAAGCAGAAATATCAATAATACTAAATGTCAAATTTGGTTTTGTTTTTAAAGCAGGCTTTCTCTCTACAGGTATGGAGCCTGTCCTGGAACTCACTCTGTAGACGTTGCTGGCCTTGTACTCACAGAGATCTGCCTGTACCTGCCTCTCAATTGCTGGGATTAAAGGTGTGCGCCACCACCACTTGGCTAAATGTCAAATTTTTATAAGGGGCTTCTTTCAACAGAGTTCTTCTCCAAAACAAGAACATCCCGTTTTTTGGTTAAATTCTCCAAAGTAGCTTTTATCATTCAGAGGAGGCATTTTTTGTGTCTATTTATTTATGTTTTAAAAACTGTGTAGCATATTGTCAAATGCAACAGTATTTTAAGTACTGTATTATTAGTATAGTAAATCATAAGGGAAAATCTGGAGTTGTGTCCTATTTGAAAAATGTAGGCAAACTTGTGATTCAGCTCATCCCATTACATCAGCTGCCCCATCAATCTCCACTCTGTCCACTTCTATCCTTTTTCTATCATTTATTAGTCTCAAATTGACTTAAAAAGATCAAAACATAGAATAGAAGAAAAAATATGACAGAATCAAGCCAAGTCACATTTGTGCACAATCTTACTTAGAAATTGAAGCAATTCAACTACAAATTTCATAGGAGAGTCATTTAAAACAAAATATTTGTTTTGTTAAGAAAATTGCATTCTTTGTATTTGTGAGATGACTAGAGAAAACAGAATTCACATCCAATTTATAATAAAAATTTCAAGCAGAACACAAGGATAGTGGAAATGAGACACATGCTGAATTAGTCAACTGTGATTATGAAGTTTTGTTTCTATGTTTGAATATTTTATAGGAATATTAAAATAAACATGATCAGAGAAATGTATGTGATTATTTTACCAAATTAAAAACTAGGAAAGTAAAATTTAGTATCCATTTTAAAAAGATAAGGAAATTGTTTCATGTTTTTCTTTTTCACAAAATAATTGTAAAATAATTTTTACAATGTGATTATATATATATATACTCTTAAAATATATAGACTGTTAAATATTGATGCATTTGAAAATATTCTAACACATGTATACCAAAAATGAAGTTTCGTTATTGTGGCCAATGCGCTGTGATCTGGTTAATCCAACAATAGCTGTCTCCAAACAGGAAGACCATAAATCTGGTAGTTGTTCAGTTTCCCAGCAAGTAACTGTCTCTGCTTGTCTTCAGTTTCCCTTGGAATCCCAGAGATACAATACCAACCAAGTAATGCCTCTGCAGAACAGATAAACTATCCAGTGAAGAAAAGCAGTCAAAGAGACACAGCTTCCTTCTTTCAACTGCGGAGCTCAGATTAACCGTGATTCCTGTGACATTATAAGATCCAAGATTATAACCAGTCAAGAGAATTCCCTCATAGGTCTGCCTAGTCACTTTTCTTATACCCAAATACAGAAACATTCAGGTTGACAACCATGATTAAATATTACAAGTATGCAAATAGATGATTATGAGTAAACTCAAATATGGAATCAGGAAAAAAATATCTATACTCAACAACCTGATGTTCTTCATATTGCTCTTTGTGGACTTGAGAACTCTATGTAGAAATTGATTCTGTGCCCCAGTTAAGAAGCGTTGGTTCTAAAGTGAATTTTTTTCATACTGAAATGCTCACATGTATTTCCTGATCAATGCTTATTAAGTTTATCATTTGGCATTTATAATAAAACAAAGAAAAATTGTGATGTGAGTCTCCTACCTTCTGTCTTTGATCTGTAATTCTGACATAAAATTGTGTTAGGCAGTTATCTAATGCAGCTGAATGTCACATCAATCTCAAATGTAACAATTTTTAAAATAGTAGCTTTCATGATTTTGTGTCAATTTGATTAAATTGGCATTCATTTTTCACCACATTTTGGCTACTTGCTAGCAAAATATAGCTTAAAAACTAGAGATCCAAAGTATAACTTCATCAGTCTCTGCTTGCATCAGGTATGCAGTATACACTTGAATTACACAAGACATTAGTCACATGAGTAGGCATTTATCTTCTTTGTTTCCCTCTCCTCAGAGAAAGCAATGAAAACAAATATGATGGCCGGAAAGCTTAGTCACACTGAGAAATTAATAAAGTTGCTTGTCCTATTTATCACAGGCAAGAATTTCCACAAAGCATCTTCGAATAAGATCTTTTCTGTCTGCAGGCACTAAGGCAGTTCCAAGGATACTACAGATTTCAGTAATTGTCTCCTGACCTTCAATTTGGTTTCCTCACACCCAGAAGCACAAAGAGGATGACTGAATTTCTAGCATTTTATTACAGCAAGAGCTCTCTTCACATTGACAGTTAATGTTTTATGTATTGGTGCTACTCTATTAATTTATTACTGTTGTGTTTAGAAATCATAAAGACTTTAATGTCTTAAACTCCAGCAATTTCATTTCTCAGATCTCTACTTCCCTCAACATGTTTCCTTTGACTTAGATTCGTGGTTTCTTACTTTGTAAGAAATAAAAAAGTATCAAAATAGTGTTTATTACTCATTTTTTCACATTTATTAGCCTGATCTGTAAAATCACTTTTTACTTAAATGTTCAAGATAGGACATGAACACATTTTGAGAAGCCATTATATGTGTACTCTAGTCAACATTACAGGGTACTGAATCATAATAGTTGGTAAGTCACATTGCATTTTGTCTTATTTTTCTGTTTGTTGTGTGTGTTTATTTGGGTCAAATCCATGTTTTCTTCTAGCATTGTGGTATGTTGATGTCCAGTGTTATTTCTAATGGAAACAAAATGCATATATGTGTGTGTCTGTGTGTGTGTGTGTCTCTGTGTGTATGTGTGTTCATGCCTTAAACAATTACGAATTCTGAAAGCCTGTAAACTGAATGCTTACAAAACTAATGATGAAATGAAATAATTCTTGTCAGATGTAGACCCTATAGAATTCAGTGGTGGTGAATAAGGTATAGAGAAATCCATGAAATAAGAATTTCAACAGAAGCATTATGTATAGTGAAGATACATACTGAGTCAAATGTCTATCACTTCACAATGGAGTCTCTTCATTATTCTCTACATGCTATCTATTATTAGTCTACAATGTCAGCATAGTTTTCAGAATGGCAAAAAGATGATTTGTGTAAATAACAACATTATTCTTAAGAATTTTAGAGAAACACCTTAATACTCTCTGCTGATAGTTATTATCCATGTAAGTATCTCTTGCTAGTTATTATTAAATGAACATGACTAAACTTTTAGCTGTAAGCTTGCATACTATCAGGTCTTGTCTGTCAATGTGACACAAACAGAAAGGAAGGAGAAGCTCAGTTGAGGAAATGCTTCCATGAGATCCAGCTGTAAGGCAATTTTTTGAATTAATGATCAGTGGAGAAGCACTCGGGCAATTGTGGGTGGTGCCATCACAGGACAGCTAGTCTTGAATTCTTTAAGAATGTAAGCTGAGCAAGCCACATAAACAAGCTGGTAGGCAGCAACTCTCCATGATCTCCGCATCATCTCCTGCATCCAGACCCTTCTCAGTTTGGATTCCTGTCCTGTCTTCTTTAAATGATGAATAATGCTGTGGACGTGAAAGCAGAATAACCTCCTTCCTCTCCAACTTGATTATGGTCATGATGTTTTGCTGTAGCAATAGAAACCTTAATACAGTTAGGTCATGTACACTAAGGCTACTTTGTCCAGAGACAGTAGACTATACAGATCAGAACTAACTGGCCTTATAAATGAAGAACTGACTTCAGTGTCTGCATTGCTTTTACTCATGCATGACTTCTCTTTGTCATCCTATATGTTTAATCTCATAGGTGATTATCTCCTAATAGGCGAGAATGGAGCAGAAGATGAACATGGTTTGCATATATTTCCCATGGTTGACAGCACTCACACAGTGTTCAGATAGAATAATGTAGCCCCTTCCTGCAACATCTTTGAATATTAGCAGGTTAGTAAATTTGAATTGATACTATTCCCAATAGTACTCCTATTAGTTCATTTTCTTGAAAGTAGACATTTTCTTTATTACATAAGAGATGATTTAAAAGACTTAAGGACTGCTTTACAAGGCCAGGATACTGAAAATATTTGAGCTCTAATGCCTACTTCTAATAATTCCCAGCCTAATCAAATGTGAAATTATGAAAATAACTAGAGTTGAAAGACATGTTTCTCAATAAAATGAATACTAATGAAGAAAATTTTGAGAGATGGTCAAGAGACATTTGAATACACCTGTTTGATGGATATTCAACAAAGAACAATCTTAGCAGAGGAGGACCTTAATTACTAAGTGGTACAGATGATTCATTTTGCAGATGCCAGTAGGTGACTTACACCGAATTCACTTGTCATCACAAGGCTTGTGAAGAAAGATTTTATGGCAGTAGGTAATGTACATAGATTCAGATATATGGATTTCCACATGAATAATATATAAAAATTCATAACAGGTACTATTTTTTCTGAGTATAAATAATTATATTTTGACTTTGAAGTGGAAACATTGTAGAGGTACACCTGTAGCAAGCTCTGGACCAACTTAGAAATCTTACCTCAGAAATCATTTTTACTGTTATTACTCTTGAATCCAAGTTCAAATATGTCACAACTTCAGAATTGTGCACACGAAACAGCACCACACAGATGGACAGGCAGAGATAAACACATACCCTATTTTATTTTGCCATATATATATATATATATATATATATATATATAATATTCATATATAGAGAGATATTTACTCAATAGTAAGTGACAACATTAAATTAGTCAATATATACTTAAAATATACATTATTAGAGCATATACTACACATAACTGTAAAAACATATTAGTCTAAAATATAAAGAACAGAACTTTACAGAAGGGAATTTAGAATATGACACTCTAATAACTATGGAATATTCATCAACTTGAAAAAACATTGATTTGCATAATCATCCCCCTTGTTTTCACTGTAGAGTCTTAAGAAATTTTCCAAGATTTATTCTTCAGTCACTGATTACTTTCAAATAGAAAATATGTGATTTCTAAAGTGAGGAAATGATAAGTGTTACACCTCCTATTGGAAGAACATAGATAGCGAACACTAATTGGAATACACATAGTTATAATAGTCTATGTGTTTCTTAGAGATTCTAACTACTCATTTGCTGATTTCTGTCTTATAATGCCCTGTAAGTTTTAAATTGAAGGTATTTGTGAATTTTTAGTTATAAGTTTCTACATGAAAAGACCAACAAATTTTATTTCATGAACACATT